GGTTGAGTACTTTGGTCTTTGAGGAAAAACATCCCAGACTGAAGAGCCCTTCATCTGGGCAGTATTCAGTGTCAATTCTGGAAGGAAGATGGTCCTTAATGAGAACCAGGATAACTGTCAAGTAAATGGAGAACAGAGTTGGGGTGGCTCTTTTTTTTGATGAAACCTTCCTTGACCCCAGTTCAGATGACACATGGAACTGTCTCTGATCTGCTACATAGAATGGTTGCAGTCATCTGGTCTTGGAGAAATCTTGATGTTATTTTCAGGACATCCAAATCTGGCCAGTATTTTCTACAGAGCTTTGAGTGATGGACTCAAAAGCCTTAGTGAGGTCAGTGAAGGCCATAGACAGATGCCAATGTTGTTCCTGATGCTTTTATCAGATCTGATGGGCAATAAAGATCATGTCAGTTGCCCCACAAAACTGGCAGGACTTGCTCCACAAGAGAGAGAAGACCTCAGGAAGATGCAAGAGAGGATTCTTACCTACTGTGGAAAAGTGGGTGATACTTCAAGAAAAGAGATGAATCTGTGTGGAGGAAGCTACTGAAGATAGTCATGATGCTGGCATTACTCGGGTTCCCAGTGATCTCTTCATTGTCCCAAATGCAGAGAATCAATCTATGAAATCTGTGTCAAGTTTCTTGCCATCAGTTGTTGATTTTAGCAGGTATGCTATGTGATCCAGTAGCCTTGTTCTTGGTTTCCTTGATGGCACACCAGACTCTTAAGATAGGAGGGTTGGCAAGGGATCCTTTTTCATGGTGTTGGTGGATGAACTTGATGGTAGCATCTGCCACAGTTGACTCATAGCTCAAGAGTGCCTAAACTTTTCTTTCCATCTGGCCTGGAAAGATTTGTCATCTGCAGAATGGTTTGATATTCCTCAATAGCAAGGGAGTTGGACTGTAAATGGCTTTTGCCAGGAAAAAGATATGCATGTCTTATTTGTCATCATAGAGCTGGATCTCCTTGGCTTTATCTTGCCACTGACTTTTGACTTCCTGGATCCATCTTCGGTTTTGAGGAGATAATATCTTCCTTCATCTGTTAAGATAAGGTGTCATCTTGCCAAACAAATTGAACCCTTCTCTTCTGCTTGAGTAGGACTTGAATCTTGTGTCACTCTCATTGAACAAGTCTTGGTGTTGACAGATGGTATAGCCAATGGATTTGGCACTGGCAATAGGGACAGCTGCGTTTTAAGCCCCTTCCAGAGTTCCTTGATGTTGCCTTTTTAATGGAAAGGGCAGAGAGCATTTAACGGAGACACTGGAAGGCCCATAAGGATCTCTGACAGTCTCTTGAACAAATTTGGTGTTGAGTCCCTTGCATTGCTTTGGCTTGCTTTTGGTGTTTTGGAGCAAGCCAGATGTTCATAATGGATCTGATAAAACACTGATCTGTCTGTCAGTTGTAGGTTTCTTGCACAGTTAGTGTGATATGGACATTAGATCATGGGCTCTAACAATAAGCTGAGAACATTCTTGTGCCTAGAATGAAGGTGTCTCCAGGTGATCTTACATTTGTCTGTTTGAAGTTAATGTTTGTAGTGACAAAACCATGCTCCGTACACTTGCTTAGGAGCAGAAGGAGTTGGCTTTCCCTACTCCTTCCTTACCGCTGGTGTTACTCCTGAGATTCAGGTCACATCCAACTCTGGCATTGGTCACCAAGGTGAATTTATCTTGTTTTCACTGCGAGTATTAGTTAGAATGTGGTCAGGATTGGAGTAGAACTGTTCTTTTACATCATCCCCATCAAGCAGTGGGGCATATGCACTGATGAGAGTGGCATACTAGGTCTTGAAGAGCTTAAGATGGAGGGTCATAAATGTTTGTCTAACCTCCACAGGGAGCTCAAAGTTGACTGACGAGCTGATTCTTGATGGTGAAGCTGATGCCATGAATGCATCTGTCCTGGGCCAGCTTCCCTTTCCAGAAAGTGTAGGCTGCACCCTCTTCCTTCAGCTCACCCTCATGCTGTCATCTTGTCTAACTTGGCTGCAATGTCAGTGTTATCTTGCTAGTTCTATGGAGGCAATGGTAGTCCTTCCAGGTCACTTGTTGTCTTGGAATGTTTGTGCCTTGATGGATAACAATGTTGTCAAACATTGTCATCCGTTTTTGACTTCGGAGAGAGTGATCCCACCAAACACTGTTATCCATCCAGAAGCAGATAAAACAGCCTAGGTTTAGGTCACCATTTCTAGCCCCTTCCCTGAGCAGAAGGGATCCTTAATAGGACTGCTCAGTTACTGTAGTAGCTGCCAAATTGCACCCCTTTCTCAACCCAGGTGCAAGATGACCATCAGGCTACTGCTGCCTGTATGCAGATTCATGGCTGGAGACTGCCTAGTCCAGTGTCCATCACCACTGGTCCATCACTGCAGGACTCTTGTGGTAGAAGCCTGTGCATGACTTGGTTTAATGTAAAGAAGCTGGTGCTCAGACAGCAGCCACATGATCCTGACAAAGATCTGGCCCCAGTGGCAGGAGAAAACTCTAGACAACAGGAGACCTCCATCTTGCTGCAGCCTTCTTCTGTCTTTGCAGCCATAGAGATCCTGACCTCTTATTCTGTCTGATCTGTCATAGAGGACTTAGGGTTGGATTGTGGTTTGTCTGGAACCTCCCCTCGTGGCTGTTTGCCATGGATGACCCTTCCAGAAGTGTGAAACCCTGGGTGACATAGCTCTAAGGATCTTTGGGACACATGTCTATACCACTAAAGGATTTTGATCTTCATGCTCCTCTGACAGCTGAAGTGTACAAGTAACAAAGGGGATCATAATTCCTACGCAATATATGATGTTGGATACCAGCCCTGAGAATGGAGGGCAAAGGTCTAACAGCCTGCAAGGAGGAAGAAAATAGGAGAGAACTTTTGGGGGACACTTAATGGGCTTGTCTCCCAGAGGCCCCCTGCAGGAATCCTTCCCTGTGCATCCTCCTTGCATAAGAAAAGCAGCCTCCATTGTTAATAGAGTGCAGAGGCTTCAGAGATCAACCAGGCTATGTAATGTAAAGTTATGGGCAAATCTCATCTAGGCCTCTATTTTAATTCCTGTGTACTGGGGCACTCAAAAAGGGGCTTGTGGCAGTTTAGTAAAACATATTTAAAAAAGTATTTTTACCTATTTGTAGATGAGAACTTCAGATTATTAATGTATGTGCTTCCTGCCAGGGATTTCTTCCCCCCTCCCCCATAATAGGAATTGGAACCCACTGTGCTATGTATGCTCTTACTGTATTGCTTGTAGTATAATTTAGGTTAAGGCTACACAGATCACCATTTTTAGAATCTCTAGGAAAAACTAAATTCTAAATGGAGTTCGGTGTATTAGGAGTAATAATCCATCAAAGGGTTATGGCCATTACTTGTAGTAATTTGCTATTACCTTTCCCATCTTACTATAAGGGGTAGAATGCAATGGTGGAGTAGCAGAGGAAGATGAAGTGCAGGCTGTCCTTCCCCATGAAACTGCAGCAGATCAGGAAGTTCCTAGAGAAGCTGTACTTCAAGAACCAGCTCCAGGAGAGTTTGACTTTAATGAGTTCTTTAACTTGGATAAAAGTGTTCCTGGTTTGGCTTCGGTGAGTGATACATTTTGGGCCAGGTATGTACATAGGGTAGAAGCACCATCTTCAGCTACTTCTGTCTTCTAATGGTGACTGAAATTTCAATTTATGGCAGAGTTAAATTTTTAATGGTATATAAAGGGAGATGATTCCATAACTTTTCCAAGTTTGTGTTTTCTATTTTTTTTTCTCTTCAATTTGGAGGGAATTGTCCATAGCCAAACTTCTTAACAAAATATGAAGATGTTGCTTCTGAGATTCTTCCCCACCCCTCCCCATACACACTTTGAATTGTTTGGCTTTGGGAAGAGCACTTCATGTTGTACGGGTTAACTTCTTGGGTTTTTAATCACTATCTTGCTGACTGCATGAAATACTATTATAGGTCTTTTTTTTTTAAGAGTTCTAAAACACTGAGGGTAAGTTTCATGCTAAAGTTTTCCCTATTAGCTGTCTAATTGGATTTTTCCTTCACTTCTTCTATATACTCAAATGAAGTAAAATTTGAATTGTATTCTGAGCTCAAACATGAAGCATCTTAATCATGGATTACCAGAGTTCTTGTTAAGAGTGGTGGACAGTCTGTGAAAACTTGCTTTTGAGTAAGCTTTATTCTATTTTTAAGGGTGTTTTTTCCATACTTGGAGTCATTCAGCCTTTTAATGGGTTGTCCATTTGTCTTCAACACTGATAGTAGTATAGTTACAACACACTTCATGTTTCATAAATATTACAAGGATGTATGCCAATATGGCTTGACTTTGTTTGGAATGTGGAAAGCTACAACTATCTAAGACCCTATGGGATGTGAAAGAAGGATACTACAAGTCACAAAGGCTGTTGAAAGGAATATAACTATACCTTGCATGTTCTAATATAATGCATGGTGTCTGAAACAACTTCTGTACAAAAAGAATGCTGTCATTCAACACCAACTTGACTATTCTCCAGTGGACATGCAACAGAAGCTGATGTTACTATCCAAATACAGGTGCTACTGAAGTCTAGGCGCAGCAGCTCACTAATCATTTTGAAAGATGTATACACTCTTGGTGCAAATATCAGCTTTCAAACTTCTCACTTGAACATTTACCACTAACTCTAATTCCCTCCTGAGGGACATCTGTGACTAATGTAGGCTTGGCCTGCAGACCTTCTGACCAGTTTCTTCCTTTAGAGGCAGTGAAAGTAAAAGTGTTTCCAAACTGATAAGGGGAGTTCTGCATTATGGGTGGATTTTCCTGCAAGTAAAAATTTACCCATGTACAACATCCACTTAAATTTAACAAAGTACCAACTGTAGTGCAAAAGAACAGGCTGCAGTGCTGCTCCATAAGCTGCTGGTGAAGGGGTGGGGAGCTACATGTAGTCCATATTTGTATGCATCTCTTCTAGCACTGTGGGGTGAAGAATAACTTTTTTTGATCCTGAAGAGCCTTCTACCAATTGCAGTTAGTGACTCAAACTATGGTCATAAGATTATTTCAGTACTTCCACTTCTGAGGAAACAGCCTGCACTTTTCTGTAAAACCAAAGTTGCGTGTATCAAGAAATGCGAGGTGAAATTCCTCTTTCAGCAGAATATAATGCACTCTTGCTTTATGATCTCCATATTCTGCTGATAATGGACAGTAAGGTTACCTCAGCTGGTACATAAAATCACATTTGAAAAATTGGTATACAGATGTCATGGCAAGCCAGATGATGTGGCTAGGGTTGTCAGTAATTCCTTCTGCTCAAAAGCAGAAAGTTAACAGAGAAAGTGTCAACTACTGAAGAATATTAATGGGAAATTTAATATTGTGGTTTTCAAATGATGCAGTTAAGTTTCTGGTTGGTGATCCCGAAAAACAGCAGCTGTCCATCAGGCTTTTTATATGGTTTATAGTTTGTATATGATCAAATAACATCTTGATACAAGCTGCAAGAGTGTTTCATTGATGTCCTTTCCTGTTATCAAAACTAGCTCTCAGCTTGGGCTGAATGAAATGACAAGAAAACTAAGCAAAGCATAGTAAATGAGGCTGTATACTTTTTTTGGTCTGTGCAGGTTGCCTTTTGATACAGATAGGATAAAATATACTCTTGGGATTTTGGTCAAGATTTGGTTTGGAACTGAACTGTAAAAGTTTAATTGTTTTGGTTAAGTTGAAGGGAATTAGTCTGAGAAATTCTTGCTGCTCCATGGATTGCTTAAATGTTTGGTAGCTGCTGAACTAAATTAGATTATGTTCTTCAGCTTCCCAATTCTAACCATGCTGCACACTAATAGTTATGTAGCAGTGTAAGGTGGTTTGGTGGTTTTTCCTACAAGGCTTGATCTTTCTTTACCTTTCCAGGAAGAGCACTCCTGATTTTTGAGGGCAGCTTTCTTTGCTTCCTTTAATTTTTACTAGACCTGTAGTATTTTTATTTGGGCCCCCTTTCACTGAAATTTGACTTGTATGGCTCTACTGCTTAACAGGAGTGCATAACTCAAGACTGCAAAGATTCAGCCTACATCTGTTTAACCTGGCCTGAGAGGCTGGGAATTCGGGAACGGGGCTCACCATAAAGTTTCTAGCTATGGAGTCCTTCTGGAGGACATGGCGGAGGGGGTGGATGTGAGTGGCTCTTAACCAGGTGTACAGCCATTGCTTAAGCCACAGCTGGATCTGACCCAGGGGCCAAATGCACTTGACTTTTTCCCAAGTTAACTGAATTGTCTAAGGGCAACTACTCTGTTTAGAGGTGGACTAACTAACTAGTTAAGTAGTCCAGTCTCAGAAGCAGTTAGAACTGTTTGGCTTCTCTCATGGCAGCTGACTATTTGCTTGTTAACTGTTCAGCAGTACAGTGTGAAATATTTTACATTCTTAAGCTATTGGTCAATTAAGTCGTTGCACAAATTAAAGTAATTTAGATGTGCTTTCAACTTTGAAACTACTCTGCAAAAATGAGGCATTATTGTTATGCCAAAATGCTAGTCACAAAGAGAAATAGTAACCAGAAGCTTCTTGTTGCTCCCAGAATTCAGGACGCTATCAAATCAGCATAGCAAAAAAAAATCATAAGTTGCATTTAAGTGTCTGTCTTATAAACACCTTGGCACCTCTGCTTCTGTTGAGGTTATTCTCTAAAATGTTTCCTTTACCCCATAATATAGATGATAGAGGATGTGCTGGGGGAAGGCTCAGTGTCTGCCAGCAGGTTCAGCAGGTGGTTCTCTAATCCTAGTCGTTCAGGAAGTCGCTCTAGCAGCCTGAGGTCCACACCTCATGAAGAACTGGAGAGGCTAGCAGGTAAGGCTACTAATTCTGCTGTATTTCATCTGTATCTCTTTTTATTCATTCCTCCCCATCTATTCTTTTTGTGAACTTGATGGATAAGGTTGCAGTAATGAACTCCATATTCTGATTGCTCAGTGTCCTTTATGAAGCTGCTGGCACGAGCAGTTTTGCCATCCTTTCTGCAAAAGGTATAACTTTTTTTTTCTTTCAGGCTACTTCCCAGATAACCCTGGGCAGGGGGCGAGAGGCATGTATTTTCAGTGAAGCATTAAATTTAACCAGCTTGTGGTCATCTTAAAACATATAGTTGGTAAATTGATATGGCAGTGCTCCTGATTTTGCTGTTTCAGGTCTAGAGCAAGCCATTCTCTCCCCTGGCCAGAACTCTGGAAACTACTTTGCTCCTATTCCATTGGAAGATCATTCTGAAAATAAAGTGGACATCCTAGAAATGCTACAGAAAGCCAAAGTGGACTTAAAACCTCTTCTCTCAAGTCTTTCAGCCAACAAGGAAAAGCTTAGAGAGAGCAGTAAGTGCCTCCAGATATTGTGGAGTTCCTGTGATTTTACTTTTTCTCAAGAAAAGAGGCTTTCAGAATGCCAAGCCCTGATTTTGTTGAGGTCCAAAGCAGGAAGTACTACAGGTTTACTTACACTTCAGAAAACTTACTGTTCCACAAATCCATTATGTCAACACCATCACTGATGCTTTCCATCCTAATCCTACAATTATATCAGTAGGACTTAATATGAACATAGGTCATTGGCTTGTGATAATCTTACTTGTACATCAAGGTAGTCCAAATGTTTAATATATAATCTTCTAGCTATATTGTTCTTGGTCTCTAGATTACTCTTCACATTGAAGACTGCTGAAATGCCAGCAGTCTTAAACTCCATCTGACACTTGAACTCCTGTTCTGCAGCCTTTCCTAAATATTGCATTACAGGAGTTGTATTGCAAGCATCCATAGCTGGAACGATATGACTTTTTATTAAAATCCAATATCTTAAGCAAATGGAACCAACTAAAAGCCTTGAATGGAGACCTAGTGAACCTTGTTCAAGTATAGCATAGATCTGCAGCTTTTTGCAGCACTGCATCTAATCTTCAGCACAGCAGCATAAAAAAAATCTTCAAATACCTGTAGCTTATGTGCTTTGCACTTTCATCCATAAATATGGATCCTGCCTATTAAAGTGTACTATTAAAGTAGCTCCAGTAATGTAGGAGCAGAACAAAGAATGGGGACTAACTTGTCTTAACTTCTGCCTTTACCAACTTTAATCCTAACGCATTCTGCTATGCAAATAAGAAGGAAATCTATTCCTTGTGGTAAACTCTTAATTTGCTGGAGTCAGATGAATTTTTTGGTATTTATTCAGTGCCAGTCCTAACTTACTTCCAGATGTAGATGCTCAGTCACTTTGGAAATTTGCATGTTTGAGCCTACTGCATGTGTGTACAAACTGACGAGTGCATGTACTGCTCTGAAAAATTAACTGAGCTGCCAAAGCCACTTGCTGGCAAGCAGCATGTTTTGCCATGTAAATGTTAAAACTGCTGGCTGAGTGCAACCTAGAACATCCCATGATTTGGGAGTGGTGGAAATATGGAGGAAAGCTCATCCCAGGAAATCCTGCTTCCCAAACTAGATGATTTTTTCAGTCTGTAGCAAGTGCCTGGTCAGGATGAGTAAAGCTTTCTGTTTAGCTTAAACTGGACAGTGTTCTATGCTGAATTCTGACCAACATCATGCTTTTCCTCAAGTTCCATAGTGCATGTCAACCAATACTTTATTTCCTTCCTTTTGCTTTTTGGTCACGATCAAATAAACATACTACTTCAGCTTTGCATCTGTTACAGAAACCCATGACATGTTCCCATCTCTTCCTCCATTTATTCTTCAAGGTACTGATACCTTATGATCTGTGTAATTGATGCAGAATCAGCAGATGTCTTGCCTGGATTCTGGGCACTGAAATATATAAAATATCATCAGCATTGCTTATTTAATATTTTGGGTTTTTTGAGTGCTACTGAAAGTCTCTTCTGCGAGCCATAGTGGCTTTAGCTTTTGGGGAGGGAGAGAAGTTACACCTAGCTAAAAGCTTTATGCAACTCATTCTTATTGTGATTGGGTCTCCAAAGTATCTAAACTTCCAGGTATGTATGCTCTTCACCTGTGGTGGCTTCAGACAACAAATTTGTTTGTGGCTATGAAAATCTAGTTTCCTGAAGTATAAGCTAAAGTATGCTTTGCATACCTGAAACAACATAATAGTAAATAGCTTGTTTTTTTTGTTTTTCTAAAGCTAAAGGAATAGTATTGCTCTGACCTTGACTGTACTTCCTGTTAATCTGTTTTCAAATATGTCAAGACAATAGAACTGATTCCCTTCCTTAGCCCTATTCTATCCTGAGAGACTTAACTTTCTAAAGTTAAAATTTCTTCTAAAATAGAAGAATTGTTTAAAAGACTCGTGCCTAAGATCTGTGCATTGCTCAGTCTTTCTAAAGAGTGAATATAATAATGTAGTTCATACTGGTTTGAAATGAAGGTGGCAGCAGAACTAGCTCTCTGGGTTCATAGCTTGCCTAAAAACAAAAAAACAACCCCCCCCATTAGTCACAGGAGCATGCAGTGTAAACTGAGTACCTATTATAATAGTCTTCCTCCTAATTCTCAGCAAATTCAGGAGTTGTACTTTCAGTGGAAGAAGTAGAAGCTGGGCTAAAAGGCCTGAAAGTGGACCAGGAAAGAAAAATTGCTACTCCCTTCATGGCAGAGCAGATGGAGGAAGCACTAAATGTAGCTGGCTCCAGACAGGTCAAGAAAGATGGAGATATGACTGCATTTAACAAACTTGTCAGCAGCATGAAGGCAAGTGGGACTCTACCATCACAACCCAAGGTCAATGTAAGTAACAAATGCCTGGCACTAAAACTATACATGGATCCATGGCAAGGTCCATGAAACAAATCTGAAGTGCCTTGTTACTGTACAAATTTCATATTGATGCATGGTTCTTGCTTGAATCCAGTGGCTAGTGGCAACAATACTGACTTGGTGAGTGATAGTTCAGTTAACAATACCTCCCTAGGTATACTGTCACACTCTATTAAGGATGCTGACCAGAACAGCCAAGAGCAAGCTTTCTAGTTCAACTGCATGGATAGCTTTATCTGCATCAAAACCCCTGCACATGTTGCCAAAAGCTTCTGATGGATCTAGAAATGTTAAATTTGAACGAGAGTGTTCTACACATCTAAGAATTGTCTGAACAACTTGATTTTGATAAATTAATTTAATGGATGATGGTATAGTTCTTAAATGGATCACAATGTAAGTGAGTACCATTTTGATAAACCCTATCCCTTTAACTAGAGCTTAATCTCTTCATCCATGCCTGTCCAGTTTAAAGTACTTCTTACATATAACTGAATTCTATAGGGGAATGCGTTTGTCATGCAGCATGAACCCAGCTGTGAGAGCAAGCTGTTGATATGGAGAATATATGCTAATACTGGTTAGTGGATGCCTTCACTCTTTTTTAGTTGTGGGAGTAGAGAGAGAAATGCTGATGTCTTCTCCTCCACTAGAAAATACACATGGGTGCATCTCTGCACCAAGTGCAGTAATTTGGTGCTTTGAAACATTATTGGTTTCAGTGAACACTTGTAAGGCTCTATTGCCACAATTGTATCTGCGGCTATTTTAATATAATAAAGCTCTTTTTTTTTTAAACAGCACTTAATGGAATAAGACCATCAGCACAGACTTGAAAATCAAACTAGACAGTTAATCTTCCAGCAAACATCTGTATTGACTAGGAGTAACAGGATAGCATGGTGCTATTGGATGACAAGGACCCTTTAAAACTGGGGATGCTGCTGCTGTAAAAACAGTAGCATGAGGCTTTGTGTGCTTTTAATTTTCAGATGCATTTCCTAATTAATGAGTAACTTAACTGTCAGCTCTGAATAGTCTATAATCAAAAAAATAAAACTATCTTTATCTTTTCACATCACTATTATAACATTATGCCAAGTTACACCCTATTGCATCAGTGCGACCTCTGACTGGTGAGGCATAACTGAGGGGCCAGTTTACAGAAGATGAGGTTTTACAGATACAACCAGGAAGATGCATTTACACTCTGGAAAATCTCTGCTATGAGAGCCCAAGCTTGACTTTCAAAGCGGGGTTTGTTTTTTGCCAGGCTGGCTGTTTTTTAAAAGGTGTGGTTGAAACTGAGCATACTTAATCTGGAAGCCATGAAGATGATGTAGAACTCCGTTGCTTTGTGGGAGTACTTGACACGAGAGTTTTTTTTTCTTTAAGAAGTTCAGCTTTGTGTACAGTTTTTTTTCCTTTAATCTTGGTCTAATGTAACCTCCATATCTTCTATCTACTAAATGTGTATACAGTAAACAAGTGCACTCTTGAAGGCTTGATGTTTAATTGACTTATAGGGTTCCTTTTAAGATACTTGGATCTAGAATCTGTTGTTTGTGGCTACATGCAATACAAATTTTCTAGCTTGTAGGTCAATGAGCAGTCATTCAGTAATTTTCTTGGTCAATTGCAGGTTTTTCAGATAATAGCTTCCACCAATTTAAGAATTTAGAGCAGGCATGGTCTAATGGAATAGCAGTTGGAGGAAAGGAGGCAGGAGTGATTCATGCATTTGTTTCTAGCTGACTAATCAGAGCTTAGTTAACTGTTAAATGTCAAGTAACATCATTCTGCATGGTTAAGATTTGGTATTGCCTTTTTAAATTAAAGTAACTGCTTCAAGTTGAAGTGATCTCAAATTTTGTACCTAGCTGTATGTATACAGAACCTGGAGGGAGGGAATAAGAGCAAATATCTTTTTTTTTTCTCCCCCCCCCC